GGAGTGTCGTGGCTGCGATGTAATCCGGGAATCTCAACTGCCTCCCCAGATCGACCAAGAGCTGAACACTATCAGACGGGTGTATAAAAAAAAGCGAATCTTTATACCCTACTCGATTGTTTGTACCTAGTACATCTTTTTAAATGCTCTTTTTATGTAGCCCTATTAACGTACTTGATTGGGTGGCTGTTGTTCTTGTCCCCTTGTTTGTGTGAATGTCAAACTGTCTGCTCAAGCTACATGCACATCAGTTCCAGTTTCTGTTTTATTTTTTTATAATGGAAATTACTTCAGAAACATCTGGCTTCCTCACTTAGGTTGAACCATGGGATCTCCTTCCTTCCTGTGTTTATGTCACAAGCTCCTACTCCCTAAAAGGACGAGTCTTCCTATGCCTTTGTTTGAACCACTGACTATTTTCTCTTCACTTCTAACTGCAGTAACACAAAGAAATAGCATCAACCAAGTACCAAACATGGATAAGTCCAGTATGGTCCTGTGACTGAAGGCTTTTGAGTTTGACTCAGGAGATAAAATTATATAGTCTCTTAGAAATGAGAATATACAAGCTCTTCTAAAGGAGCAGGAATGGAAAACTAATTAATTAATAATAAACAAATATGGTGATATAGATAATGAATACCTTCAAAGAAGGAAACACAACATCTACAAAGCAGTGCTGCTTTCAGGATCATCTTTTTTGTTGTTGTGGTGATGTTTTTAAGGTTGCTATGCAACATAGACTTTCTAGTGATGGCCTTTTTAATCATACACATCAACTGCATATTTCAGATAAGAGTGAGATATTTGCTTAACATTTCCAAAGAAAAATTAGCATTATTGCTGTGTAAGAACAATCTGATGTCATAAAGCTGAGGAAACACAGTGTGTTTCCTGTCTACTCATCTTTCCTGAGTGTGTGTGTGTGTGTGTGTGTGTACTCTATTTATTTGATCTATTTATTGTAACGCTTATTTCAAACATTATAAGCATCCTGAACAACAGTAACCAAAGAAGCAAAGTGATGCAAAAAAACATTACTAAATAAAAAGATTATTTTAAATAATCATTATGATTACCTATTTCAACCCATACTCTTAGGGGACAAAAGTAAAAGGTTTGAAAAAGTATCAAAACACATGATGAGGATAAACTTGCATTTTGAAAATGTAGAAAAATAAGAAGCAATATAGCACATTAATAATAATAAATAATAATCAAAGAAAGGAACTACTTAGGTACTACTTAGTCATATTTACATAGCTGCCTTTACTTGAACAAATCTAGAAATGTAAGCACTCCAAAGATATATAAGATATGTATATTGTATATATATATATACACTGCTAAAAAAATTAAAGGAACACTTTGAAAACACATCAGATCTCAATGGGGAAATAATTATGCTGTTTATTTATACTGATATGGACTGGGTGATGCGTTAGGAACAAAAGGATGCCCCATCATTTGATGGAAATGATAATTATCAACCTACAGAGGGCTGAATTCAAAGACACCCCAAAAATTACAGTGAAAAAATGATG